GTTGTGTGGACTTGGTCAACACAACAAATGCAGGGGAAACCTAAATCACTGCGTACCCACTTGGCAAGAATAGCGAGAAATCCTTGCTGCTGTAGCCAATCAACTGCCAGGCACATGCCTTTGACAGTTGTGATGATGGTGGGGGAGGGGGTGAGTGCAATCAGGTTGACTGACTCGCAAATGATCCAGCCAATCACATCCTAAGTTACTGATGCCAAACAACTCTCTGAGCAGCTTTGAATGGGGTGGTGCATACTCTGCTTAGCCTCCTGTACTAGAGGCCAAAGAGAGCATGCCCTGATTCCTTCTTCATCTAGCTCTGGAGCTGCTGGACAGCAACAATGCCAGACCAGTGGGAGTGGGGCTCTGTTTGGCCTTCTCTAGAGTAGGTCAATCAGAGTACAACTCTTTTCCCCTCCTCAGGCTTAGTACTGCAACTGAGTGGCTGTAATGCTTGACCAGAGAGGATGGTGTTATGGTGCTGCTTTTGATTTTGGCTTGTGAGATTTACCCATGAGTTGACTCATGAGTCAAGTTGAGGCATGTCAATTATCACAGCTGCCTACTCTTGCTGACAAGGGAGGAAATCTGAGTTCACATGGTGTTCCATGGGATATCTGTAGGAAGACTAAATGGGATGGTGCACCCCACCCACAGTGAAACCAATCATTTGTTGGGCACATTGTGGGTAGGGTGGTTTCTCAGACATACTGCAGTCATTTGGCTTAACATGTCATGTAAACCCTGCCCAGGATCAGGGCAAAGATACTGCAGAGATCACAGGGACCTGGAACAGGAGAAGCTTTGATTTGATAGCATAAAGGAAGAAGACAAAAGCAGCCATATTGTTGTGGGTGAAGAATGCAGATCACCACAGCATTGTCAGATCTGCCAGCTTAGATATTCCTCTGTCTTTATTATATGGAAGGGGTAAGTTTTGCTGAGTTTCAATATGTAGCAATGGTCGGACTTTCCTTCCATGCAACTGTTAGAGATATAGAAGCTCTCTCTGAGTTAATGTACAAATCCTAAGGGGTAGAAAGTTTGAGAGGTAGAAATGGAATCTGCAATTCACAATTTAATTTGTGCTAACTATCCACTGTAAAATATAAAAGGAGAGCAATCCTATATATCATGATTTAAGGCATCATGAATATGATCTTTTAAATGTTGGTAAGTTTCAGAAGAGCAGGGGGGAGAGATGTGTGCGTGAAGTGATTGGTTGGTGGATGAGAGTGTATGGACCAAACATGGAAGTGTGTAAGAAGAGAGAAATAGATACTATCAGTTGGTCAGCAGTTAACAAAGTTGTGGTCAGTCAGTGGTCTGCAGAATCTGAAGAGGCACCCTCCTCATTAGAATCTCAGATACTGCTGTGAAAAGCATTTAGGAATCAAAAGAGAGGGCAAATTAGTGCCCAGGGAGAGTCAAAACCTAATATTGCCAAGTATAATAAGGGTGAGAGAGATACAAGCTGACAGAAGGGAGTGTAGAAAGGAAAGATTTAAACTGAGACAAATAGAATAAAGATTAGTCAAAGTACATTCAGGAGAGAAAGGAGGATTTGAGAGTGAGAAATGTTTGTGAAGGGAAACAGTGTGCAACCTCAGGCAGAAGTTGATATTATACATGTTTTAGTCACTAAGGAAATAAGTTATTGAACATCTTGAAACCAATGGGCTTCTGGTACAAATAAAGTTTTATTTTGTATAAACAATTTTGAGACAGTCATGCTAACCAAACGTTATATAAATGCTTTAAATAAACAAACAATATTTTGGGGGTTTTTCAACCCAGAGTCATAGGTTGTTTGAATATCAGTGTCTCATCCTCAGGATCACAGAGTCCACTGAAAGAACCTTATAGCTTCTCAAGGGAGAGATCAATAAGATTGGAACAAAATTCCTGGTGGGAGCATTACATACCAAGAGAGGGAGATAATAAGAAAGTGAAGGCACTCCATATCCAAACAAAATACAGAAGTGTACTCATGACACTAACATTGTTTTTTTTTTTTTTTCAAACATAGCCCATCAGTGAAGAATATAAAGGCAGGCTCTGTATAGGCACCAAGCTTTATTTCTCCATGAAAATGGCACCTTGTCTTTGGAAAAATGTTGCTGGTAGGCAAACAAAAGAGCAACTCATACATACCTCATTCTCTTGCTTTAATGTATACAGGATATGTTAACAAATAATGCTAAGGAATACCATGAAATTACCTTTCTTACCTTGTGCCCTGTGTTCACACATTTGTGAGGAGACTCATGAGAGTCTGTGACTGCCTTAAAGTTACCCAGTTGGCTTCATGGCCGAGTGGGGACTAGAATCCAGATCCCCTGAGTCCCAGTCTTGGGGTTTTAACCACTACAGAACTAGTATGGTGTTTGTCTACAAATCTGCAGTACTACTAACTAGGATTACTATGAGCACTTCTGGTTGTTCCATTATATATTGCATTATATTGTATATTATTCTAGATAATATGGAGTTGGAAAAGGTGCAGAAAACATAACTAAAAAGATAAAGGACTGCAGCCACTCCCTTCAGAGGAAAGTTTATACAATTTGGGACTTTTTAAAGTAGCAAAAAGGAGTAAGTTGTGATGGGGAGAACATAATAAGGAATATAAACTTATATATGCTGTGGGGAAAGTTGCAGCACAGTTTTTCGGCCTTTCAGACTTCTAGAACATGGAGGGAACAGTGGGAGATTCAGGCTAGACCAAAAAAGAGGTACTACTTCACACAACACATGCTTAAACCCTAGAATCAGAAGATGTTATCACTACCAACTTGGATGGTTTTAAAAGAGGTTTAAATAGATTCATGGAGGATAAGACTATGAGTGGCTAAAGTTGTAATGTTACAAGTTATGTTTAGATTGAAGGAAGCATGTCGCTGAATACTAGCTCCTGGAGAAGAACAGGCTTTTGACCTCCTGTCCTGCTGATAGGGTTCCCAGAGGCATCCAGTTGGTTATTGTTGGAAATAGGATACTGGACTAAATTTGGCAAGATGCAGCAGGGCTCTCACTTGCAGATGCATGCTTACCCAAAGATACTTCTAATAATTGCATTGTTGCTTTAATCAGTTCTGGAACTATAGGAAAATATTGATTGCGGTGCTTGGGATGTAGATTCTGCATGAGGAAAATCTAGGTTTGCTGAAAAAGTAAAGAAGGGTATAGGAAGATTAGATGATACAAGGAAAAACCTGAAGGCATAATGGGGGTCTCTTACTTGAAGGGACAATTCATGTGTAGTTAATAATTAGAACAGGAGCTCAAAATAGGATATGTTTCACTAAGCTAAGATAAAAAGTATATTATCTTGTGTTATTGATAACATGAAACATTTACTGCCATGAAGTTGTAATGATATCATGAAATGAGACTTATGTGTTGTTAATGCTTGAGCAGTGCTTTCAAAGGATCTATTAATACATTCATAACACATCTTAGAAATTTTCACTCTCAATTTACTCATGTGCTCCAAGTAGGACATACACAGACCTATTTTATGTAGTAGTCATTCCCCTCCTGACATATGTGATCTACTGAATTTTTCAGCTGGTAAACTGTAGGTGTTACAGGAATACTCAGGAAATGTCCACACAATTGAAATATTTATTTGTATTAGGAATGATTAGTTTGCAGTATTTAGTAAATGTTAGAAATGGTTAAATATACATTTTCTAAGATTGAATTTGCTTCAAGAATATAATCACTCTCCTTGAAGTTTCTAGATTGTGTTTGAATGAGCCTATTTGTGAATCTGCATTTTGGGTTTTATCAATTTGTGGAAATGATAGTTAATAGGTGAAGTTATTACATAATCTGCCTAAATTTCTCAAAAGAGGAAAAGGCAGGTTATAAATTCAGTGCAATAATGCTCAGGGCAAATTTCTATGAAATATCGAAATAAGTGACTTCTGTCAATGTGCAGTGTGTACCAACCATTGACATTTACCAAGGGATGCTGCAGTTTTTTACATTGCATTCACTTGACAGCTGTCAGATGGAGACCTATAAAAAGAAAACAAAACTTTAAAGGATCTTTGCTTACAAAACAGGGCGGTAGCATTTTCCCTCTCATCTTTTTCACATTTTATTGCGTGTCCAGCTACTTGGGAATGTGAAGATCATAAATCTAACCCCCTTTTTATGAGCACTTCTTTTGACAGCTGTCAAAAAAGAGAATAGGCTTTTCTTTTTAAAGCTCTTTGACAATTTTTTTAAAGCTCTACATATGTTTTTTTGACAAGAAATATGGGCCTCATTGCATCTCTTGCATATTATCACAGTAAATTTAAGAAACAATCCTATGCAAGTGTAGACAGAAAAAAAGTCTAGAATTCCAGTATGTTCCAACCAACTCTTCTGTCATAGGTATGCTACAAATTGTAGGCTTTTTTCCAGTCTAAACTTGCACCTTTAATTCCATTAACTAGCTAATGACTAGGTAAAGACATAGTGATCAGAAGAAACAGAATACTTTGCATTCAACTATTCCAGTCATCTTGGTATTATTATATACTATTCCTGAGGCCTAGAGTCAGTAATGGCTTCAAGTACAGAGACAGTGCCACTTAGTGTCTTTGTCACAACTCTGATGTGTAACCTCAGTAAATTCTTTCTAATTACTCATTCTCCAAGAGATCTCTTTACCAAAACCAGCCATTTCCAGAATAGAATGGTATAGGTTTGGATGTCCAGAATACGATGAGGAAATGGGACATGTTTACTAATGCTAGCCAGCATACAGGACATTCCATTTAACACACAAACAGGGAATGTTTCAGAGTAGTGACTTAAATTGAACAAGTTTGAAAAGTTAAGCTCCACTCAGTCTTGCTTGTGCTTGATTTTTTCTTTTTCTTGTTTCTTTTTTGCTCATCTTATATTTATACTTTTGGAGTACAACTTTTGCTGCCAATTTTCAGTTCATTTAAAGAGAAAGAATGACTGTGTACTTACTTCTGCCTTATTTTTCTCAATAGACATGCTATATATGTGATGAACAAGGCAGAGAAAGTAAAGCAGCCACTGGTGCTTGCATGACTTGTAATAAACATGGATGTCGTCAAGCTTTCCATGTAACATGGTAAGTAAACAATACTGGCTGGGGAATCCTGCAGTTTTTTCTGAGCTATCTGGCTTTATTATGTTGGTAGATATAGCTTTAATATATGTTGGTACTTTTTCATGTATTTTTCATTGTTCAGACTTAACTAATATATTAAATAGGGACATTTTACTGTGCCATTATATATGTCATTCAGTACAGTATATAATTTCTGCTGTAAGGGCTATATCAGAAGTGTTTGTCCCACCAAGTATTAACCACTAAATCATTTCCAATTACATTAAGACATGTTTAGACCAACATAAAAAAAGTTATACACTGTTGTTGTCATAGGACCTTTTTCCTCTCTAAGGGTGTGCAGAATTGCATTCTTAATTACATAGTCAGAGACAGTCCAAAGTTTGATGCTACCTATATAATAACCTGCTTTAGATAATTTGTTGAATATCTTCAGTGTCTTATGTCTTCCTATATTTTTTTTCCTTTCTCAGTGCACAGTTTGCAGGGCTTTTGTGTGAAGAAGAAGGTAATGGTGCAGATAATGTACAGTATTGTGGTTACTGTAAATACCATTTCAGTAAGCTGGTAAGAATTTCAAATTTTGTATTTTAGTAACATTATATGAATTTAATATTGAGCTACTCATGTTGTATTGCTTATACTAAAACTGACTAACATTTAATCTTGAAGACATTTTAAAATATTGAGATAAAAGTTCATAGGTTAAATTCAGTGTGATACAATATTGTGAGTGGCAGTACTGACTTTCCAATTTGATCCCCTGATGACTTTAAATTTCATTATGGAAATGATCTGAGGAATATCTAAATATTAAAATAACAAGTCTAATGCAGATGTATGGTTGCCTTGCCATGGACTACATATAGAGAACATAAGATTTGCCTACCAGATCAGACTAATCTAGGCCAGTGTTCTGTCTCCCAACAGTTGACAGTGCCTTTGGGAAGTTCACAAACAGGATATTAGGATAATAGCCATCCTTCCGGATCTGTGGCATTTACATCCAGTATTTGATGAGACAGTGTCTTGTAATACAAACATTCCATTTTAACTATTTTGGCTAATAGGAGCTGATGTGTTTCTACTTTACATAATCCCCCCATTTTTTTCTTTAACTGCCTTCTTAAAATCTCTTTTGGCTCACTTTGTTTACTTCTTCTTTGCCAGTGCATATTTTCTTATTGTTCACTGCAGTTTATTCTTTTTTCTTTAAAAAACTTTCTTGCTGTTTATATTGTTCTTGATCCTGCTCTTTAGCTTAACTGGCAGTTATTTAGGTAAACTATGAAAATGAGTTGTGCCTTTTCATATAATTTGTTTTCATTTTTCTTGAGGGACTATTGCAGAAATTTTATAAAGTTTCTTGAATACTTAAAAGGGATTTCACTTTCCTACTAGGTACACTTTTAGCTAACTGTCGTATTTAATTTTTTTAAAATTCCCACCATTTACCAATAAATAGGATGCGTGGAAGTTTCTGGTCATTTCATCACATTCACAATTTTGAATATGATTGTGTCATCTTTATTTCTAAATGGAATGGCAGTGTTTATATTTTGAGTCAGATTTTGTGTACTACTGAAGATTAAATAAGAGACATCTCCTGTTGATTACTGTATTATTTACTGTATTTAGAAATTCTGGGTCTATTGCGATTGAAATTTGCATTAGCTGGTAAAATTTCAGGCAGATAAAGATTCTTGCTGTAATATTTTCAGTTGTACTACTGTAGTGTCTCGAGTACTTTTGTATCAGAGTCAGCATCAGCTATTTATCTTTGGGTGAAGAGACAAATCGTATTTTATTATTTTTACTTAGAATCTCCACCCACAGGGATTTTGTGCATTAAAATTTGTTTTGTATTGAAGTTTTCTAATGGACTCTGCCATACAATTCACTATTTGCTTTCTTACAGATTTATAGAGAGACCCCTATGTTGCCATAAGTTATGGATAAAATTATGGTTTTTACTAATACTAGTCTGCTTATGGTACATATCTTTATTTTTATTTAACTTCTATACTGCCCAGTAGCAAAGCTCTTTGAGGCGTTTACAACAACACATTAAAATAGATTTAGAATATAAGACATCATACAAAGGTTGCCATACAAAATTTAAAACCAAATTTAAAACATTTGACGAATGGGGCAGCACAGAAGCCTTCTAAATAAATAAATATATTCCATTAATTTAAACAAGGTAAATCTTAGGAGCTGTTTAAGCAACTAACAAAGCACTAATTAACTAAGCAAATGCCCTGTGGTAGAAGACAGTCTTAGATGATGGCAAATTATGTATGTTCTCATTTAATTCCAAGCTTTCTTTTTGTGTGTGGAATTTCAGATGACTTGGCAACCATGACCATCAGTCTTTCTGATTTGCTCCATCAATTTATGTGCTCATTGTCAATTTTGATCCTATCCCTGCTTTGGAGGTATAAAACATGACTCATAAGGGATGAGCCATCCTGAAGCAGATGCTTCTCAGAACTTGTTGAATCTTTCCCCAAAAGAAAAAAAGTGCCTTTACCATCTATAATTTAAATGTCTGCATTCTGATTCTGTTGTATTTCACGAGGAGCAAGTCTTGTCAACACAGTATGGATGTTTTTAGCTTTAGATAATTCAGAAATGACCTATGGGGATTCTATAGTGTATAGAACCAGCAAATCAAAGTGTCATAGTTCAGTTTGCTGTTTCCCAGGTCTGGGTGATGTGCCTGTAGTGAGATGCCTGATATATATCCTTGTGCAGTTCTTTCTCTCCTGCTGTGAACTTCATTTGAAGGTTCATGGTTTCCTTTCCCATCTGGTTTTTACTTAGTGTAACTTTCATTCCTTTTGATAGGTTTCTTGCTGCCTTAACCTGGATCTCTGTTCTTCCTTTTCCCTGCTTGGCAGAGTCTTTTCCCTTGCTTCTACTTCATCCTATGTTTTTAGACATCTCCTGCTTGTCTTGATTTACTGCCAGATATTGAATTGAAATGGCAGTTCAGAATTGTGTGCCGCTTGCCTACCTCTTGTATTAGTATTGTCTATCATCAGGCGGACTTCAATGCAACAGTAACTACTGCTAGAACTTCTTGGCCCATTCTAAGCATGAGGTAACAAGGTGGTTCCATGTTTGAACGTGCACTGCTGCCAAGAATTAGATTTTTATTATTCAGATTCTCTCCTCCCCACACGCACTCTTACATTATTAACATTTTCTAATAATTATCTTTTTATGTTCCAATCTGTAAACTGACTGATACTTAACTGTTCTTCTGTAAGCTATATGACCCTTTGATATTCCATGTATCCATGGGCTTGCCCTGCCCTGTCTTTCCAGTGTAATGCCTTAGTTAAATCAGTGGGGTTTTCATCATATCTTGTTTTGCACCATCTAGTAGTCCTCTTACAGTTTTCTTCCTTACATCATAGTCTATTGGCTTATTTTCTTCTTAAATGCAGCATGAAACAGTTTTGGAACTTATTCAGCTCATTTAGACCAAACTGATAAAGTCTGTCTTGGTTACAATTTTTTCATATACTGGTTCATTTTTATTGATGAAAGTCAAGTTGTGTTAAGGTTTAAATCCAGTGGATTAAGGGCCATTATTCCATTGATTTAATTGTTTGTACTTGAAGTAATTTGACTGCTATATTTTTGAAAAACCTTAGATTGACAGTAAAACAAACCCTTATGTGTGAAGGAAGACTAGTGTTAATATTGTCACAGTGTAATTAATTCATAGTTGTGCTTGCTAAATCTCTATTACTGTGATCATGCAGCAGAGCTGGCAATATGGTGTGCTGGTGTTGTGGTAGGGTGGTGGTGGTGTGGTAGAGTGGTGCTATGTAGTTGTTTAAAGAAAGTTCATACACTTAGGACCTATGTATGTTGGATTCTGTGTACATAGTTGGCTGTGAAAATATGACATCCAATATATGACTGAGATGCAAATTATGGGGCATGTAAGTATAACCTCCTACCATCTTTGTCACACATATAGCCAACAAATAGAGTGCTGCAGAGGTTGGTAGCTGCCATGTAACTATAAGGATCTGAAATGGAATTCTTAGCACTTCTCATTGTTGTGGAAGGATGTTTGAAGAATTCAAACTTTTTAAGTGCTTCTGGATTTTCATATAATTTGTTAATGCATGCCTTTAAACACCTGTTCCACAATATTCTCCAGTTAGTGACATGATACCTTAAAACAATAAAATTCCTATCAGAAAAAACGTCTAAGAAAAAATGTGCAACCCAAATAAGGAGGACAGGGTTTACTGAGTAGTTTGTCCAATTTACATAAATCTTGAAAACTTAATTTTTTGGTTGTAAATTTTGCAGTTTTTAATTCATGGAAGGAATGGAATTGTGTATTACTTTTTACAGCACCATAAAAGAACAAGTAAACATGTGCCAGTGTTATATTGATGCCACAGCTGTTAAAAACAGTTGTTATTTTTAAGTACTATACATACAAATGTTGCATAGGGAGGAAGAAAAATCAAATCTAAGATATATTCAGCATCTTGGAAAGTTTCTTGTGATTTGATGTTTATTAATATATTACTGTTTATATGTTAAGGCAGAAGTAGGGAACCTATTGCTGTTCAGATGTTGATGGACTCCATTATTCCACGGCATCATAAATAGTTAAATATGATGGGGGTTGTAAGCCAAGAGCTTCTGAAGAGCCATGGATTGCTGATTCCTGTTTTAAGACATGATTATGTAGAGATAATTTGCTTATTGATTCTAAAATGGCTGTTGGCCTTTTAAGAAGACTTTTTATCTGATTTAACGAATAGCTTCAAAGAGCAAATGAATAGATGCATTCTTTTAATTCTTTAAATATAAAGTGGCCGCCTCACACACATAACATTTCTTAACATACACACCAGCAAAATCATACTTTTGAATACACAATACTGAATTTATGAAAGTCAATGTGGATAACTTTCATACTTTACTGAATTGTTTTATTTAGATGAAGTATGTTTTGGTTAGTGTCTCAAGTTGCTGATTTTTTGTTTTGAGTGATAAAGTAATTGTCAGGTTTTAGACAGGTTTTATGTATATTCATATCATGAATATATATTTTGTCTTTTTAGAAAAAGAGCAAACGGGGATCTAATAGGTCATATGATCAAAGTTTAAGTGATTCTTCCTCTCACTCTCAGGATAAGCACCATGAAAAGGAAAAAAAAGTAAGTGGATCTGTTACATAACACATCTGCTTTATCGTATTAGCCCCTTCTACATGTTTCATCAGTAATCATTAAATGTATGAGGATGTTTGGTTTCTGCAATGTAAGAAACAGATTATATTGATAGTATCTGCATGTTGATTTATAGAAAACAGGACATAGTGAAGAAGCTCTCCTTTTTGTTCCTACATTTCATTTTACTAGTGTCCTCTTTGTTTCAGTTTGCTGGGCAAATGGGTTTGGAGTAGGGTTTCTTGCATGCAATTGATTTAGTTCTAGTTTTTGTCAAAAAAAAAATTAGTGAACTTGTTTTTCATTTGAATATATGAATAGCATACTAGTCCCTAAACATGTCAGTTGCTGTCATATCTTACTCTTTCTTGCAGTCTTTCATGTATCCATTTCACTTCTCTATCGAAGAAAGCAAGCTAGAAGTTGTTTGTTGGCTGATCTTTTGGTGGTACTAGCCATTTTGTACTGTAATTGCAGGGTGCCATTGTCATTCATATGGAAATTTGTAATCTTTCAGTAAATTGTAAAAAATAAATAAATCACTAAACACTAATTGCATCCTTGTTGACTTATTCTTCTTATACTTTGATTTTAGATAGTTTAGGGAAGAAGGTTGATTCAGTGTTGGTAAGTGAATACTTGCAAATTTTTGGCTCACAATACCAAATTTACAATTGCTTAAAGTTATTGTTTTCCACTGTGTAGAACTAAAATAGCAGATCTGCATAAAATAACCCAGACCTCTGTTGGAGGAATCAAGACCCTGTCTGGATGCTCTAAACCCATGTTCAGTGCTATTTTGATTTGTGACGTACCTGTTTTCTTAGCTATATTGACTAGGAATCTTCTGGATGTATGCATTAAAGCAACTCTGTTAAGCTCCTTGACAGTAATGTGAGGTAGAAAAGTTTCCATCAATTTCCATTACTAAACTTTTCTGTGGAAATTCTTTTTCTTAAAGTGTACTGTTTCATAGAATTATTTAGGATATTCATGTTTAAATTAATTGATACAATACCAATTATACTTTAAGATATCAAATTTGTATTCTTGCTAACAAGTACAACTCCCAGGAAGGATGAAGCATGATAAACTGACCTTTTGTTAGAGATACAACCCATCCATCCTTCAGTGAAAGAGAATGTGGCTTAAATAATTCTACTTTAGATTTGCCTCAGTTTTATCTGGAAGTAGTAAGTAGTATATTTCTACAGACATACATAGTGCAACTGAAGGTGCCTTAACTGAATTAAACTTTGTTGGTTAGTGTCATATAATCCTATAACTATTTTCAGCATTCTAATAAATATAATTTCCAAGTAAAGGTTTGAATTTTGTGAAGGTAGTATTTAAACAACATTAAGTGAGCATCACTGAATTGTTTTTCCAGTTGGATATGTCACTTCATTTACTTTTGGATATTTAGAATACTTTTGAGATAGTTATATATAATTTTAAAATGGAGTACCTTTTCAGTTCTGCTTATTATATCTAAGTCATATATGCTAAATCAGATCCCAGTCCACTTTAGTTCAGTGGAACTTTTTTCAGTTCTAGTTGTTTTGAAAAACCCATAGTTCTGTGTATTGCAGAAAGTAATATGTTTTATTTACTTTTTAATGCCATCATATGAGTAAGTTTTTTATCTTAGGCTATGTTTTGAATGTAGTTACAGTTCCCCTATTCTTTCTAAGCAGTACCTATACCTGAATGTACTTCTTCAGTTGCCACTGCAGATTACTGATAAAGTATTGACCATTAATGGTTCTAGAAAAGGGTGACATTTGGAACCATTTTTTCTTATAGTGTATAACAATCGTATACTATTCTCTTACTGATTGAAAACAGTAATCCTATTACAAATAGCGAACTCATTCTTTAAGAGTGTGTGGCAATATCCCATTGCCACACACAAGAGCGGGGATAGTAGGCTTGGAGAAAACAAGAAGCATTCCCCTGACACCCCCCCCCCCCCATGAGGAAGAAACTTCTACATGGGTAATGATAGGAATGAAAGGATGATTTGAAACAAGGAAGTAGGAAGAGTTAAAAAAAAAGATAACAAAGAAAATTCATTAGCCTAAAGGAGGAGGGGGGCTGAGATCAGATAGCACAGAGTGTGAGGAAATTGGCAGGTAGACAAGATAGCAGGAAACTTGCTCAGTGAATGACCTCCTGACTGTTAACAAACACCCTGCATAGGAAATAAGCTCATTATAATTCACCTGGGAGGGACCAAGTGGGAAGGAAGAACAGGTATCAGTGGCACAGGATAGGAGGATGGAAAAGATTTGTAACCTCCCAGTACCCTGGCCAAAGGGGGAAAAGAGGAGGGAGAAGCGGCCGGGGGCAGGGCATAAAGGAGATGTGAACATGTGCTGAGTTGAGTTGGAAGAAGAGAAGGAAACCTCTCCAACTTCCTTTATTGCAATAAAGTTTCAAAAAGAACTCTCTGCGTGCTTGGAATATTGTTCTCTTCCGAAGGAAAGGAAAGAATATTTTTAACAGGTAAGAACTCCAAAAGGTCCCAGTGATAGCTGGCTATAACTCACTGGTCACAGGTTGCATTTCATGGCATAGGGGAGAGAGAGAAAGCTGGGCTGAATTTCAATGGGTATCCTGGAAAAGGGGTTTCTGGCTAGTTGAAACTCTGAACAGTTTCATTTATCTGAAAGATTTCTGCAGCCTGCTTGCCTAGTGGGTAGATTTTGAAAAAAAAATGCTACCAAAAGCACGAAAGTTTAAAGTCAGTTGATTTGTACTCATCTACTTCCAAATCCAACATTTAAAAATGGACTTTCATGTGCACAATGGGAGTTTCCCTTCCCGTCCCGTCCCGTCCCGTCCCTTCCCTTCCCTTCCCCCTCTAATGCAACTCCCCCACAGGCAGCACAGATTTGCTCCTAAAAATTTGCCCATTTCTTTGGAGCAGATTTGAGGGCTGGGTACAGGGTGGAAGGGAATTTCATCTGCCTGCAGTGTTCTGTTATAGATGGGTATACTAATGGATAAAACTTCAGTAAAAGTTTACTTAATTATATTTCAGTTTATGATTTTTCTAAATCATGTGATGCAAAAATTTCAGTTTTGAAAATGTAAGGATTTTTGATAAGTCTAAAGAAATGTGAGCATGAGATTCAATTATAACAGATACAAGCCTAGGCAGTGTTTTAGAGGAGAAGTAATGATAGGAATTATGATACGGATTATTTTAGCTTGATTTTTTCAGGTTATAATGAAAACTTGGATGTGGAACTTTTTGCTACTTGCTCAACTAGCATGTCCAAGTCTTTGGATGAGCTGCCAAAGTGTTCAGCCCCGACACTTAATGTATAGGACAGTTTGCATTGTGTGGGAACAGTATGCATCACATGAACAAAATTAGACTGAAAGTATAATCAACCAAATAATATTGCTTATTTTACACAATTATATTTTACTTATTGAATATTTTACTATTGTGAAATGTACCAATTTGTATTATACTGAAGAACATTTAAATGTTGCAGGTAGAATAAAGAATTTATTATCCAGTAATAAATATCCTATGTGAATGGAGTTTAAAAAGCCCTTTAAGGGCCCCAGCAAAATCCCCCCACCCCCAGTGAAATCTAGAGGGCTGGGAAAAGCTAGTGCCCTTAGTAGGAAATGAATTTGGTTCACTAGTGCCTATTTGATTTAATGTGTGCTGCATATGGTCAGAAAAGCTGTTCCTGCTCAATTATGCATGTCCAGGACAGAAATTCATTTGGAACATGTGTCTTGTGGGCTGAGACCCTTGTTTTGATGCTGGCTTCCTTCCCTCCTTATTTTTTGGAGGGTGAAGGAATGCTTACTTCTGAGGTACTCTTATTTCCCTTCTGTCTCTGGTGGTGGGGATATAGACACTTGCATGAATTCTTGTTTCTCATGATTTGATGAATTAGGCAGCTGTATGTAGGAAATATACAAATGAATTTGGATAATCTACTATTTTTGAGAAATATAATCACTGGTAGCATCTTGAATGGTATGTTCCTGTTTCTCTTTTGATGGTGGCTTTTTGTGGGTATGGGCATGGATTGTTCTTGAGGTAGAAGTGATGGTTTAGTGTCAGATTCTTGTGAAGTTTTTGAAGGACACAGCCTGTCAGTCTCTCCTAGGTGAGACAGTTTGTTTTTCCAAGTCATCCTAAGTTTTCATTGGGATATTTATTTTTTGCCAGGCACTTAAGAAGAGCCTCTGCTTTATGGATTATCTTCCACTGTTAATGAGGAGTACATCTTTTGAAAACTTGTGTATTCATTGCTAGACAGATCTTCAGAACGCCTGCAAATTGAACTCTTCTGCATGCACTTTAGTAATTGAATTTGTTGTCTTTTGGTTCTAAATGCCAATAAACCATTGAGTGATACTACTTTTGTATCACTTTTATGATCCCTCCCTTTTTAAAGCAAACTGAGGTTCTGGAGAGAAATGCTTCTGGGACTATTCCATACCCAACAGCTTTTCCATAGGTTAAACTTGGGAAATACTACTGTATTTCCAAACATCCCCTGCTCCGCCCCAACAAATTATAATTTTTATGTGGGTCACTTGGAAAGGTGACATCGTCATCATCATCAATTTCATTTTTATACTCTGGTGGGGCCTTTGTGCGCAAGCCAAATATACTTGGGGTTGCAGGCATGGCTGTATTACAGTGATAGGGCAGGTGGTATATGCAACTACATGTGATTGATCAAGTAAGCCTGGAATTGATTAATAAGTAGACAGTTTACCTGTCTTTGATCTCTGTTTGTAGGCTTTATATCTTGCCTTGCTTAGCTGAAGGTTCAGAATAATTTCCTCCCTCCCCACTACTTGAAGGTCTGTCTAAAATTGCTTCTAACTTCTTTAATTTGAGATTTAAGTTTATCCAGTGGAGAGTTACATACCCCTTCCCATATCACTTTACTTATATCTCCCATATTCTTCTTCCAACTATTCTACTGTGAGATGTTCCTCTT